CGGGGGGTGGCGCAGAGCCGCCTGCGTGGGGCACCGCGGGTCTTCCACCTACCGGCCGTTGTTCGTGTACCAAGGTGGAAAGCGCGCCCTTAATTTTGCTTTAAAATTCTGCTTTGCCTAAAGGACGGACATAATGCCCTTCCCGCAGCATAGTGCGATGAAATGAATGCTCCCGTTCTTCGGTCTGTAAAAGACACGTGAAGCTGGCAGCAGGCCTGAGGGCCCAGCTGTGGCAGGAGGGGATGCCTTCGTTCCTCTTTTCGGACGCAGTTCCTTAGCGGTCTCCCCATAGTTGCCAACGGGAGCTCATTCTTGCAGATATGCTGGTTAAAACGGGCAGAGCTGAAAGGATGTGTAGCGTCCTAACGGCCATCGTGCTGTGTCAGATGTTGCAAAGGCCAGGGGTGGATCCAGCTGCCAGCACTGCTGTGCGTGCTGGGGTTGCGCTGGATGGAGTTGTGTTCCTGAACAGGATGAGTTTTCTTCAGAGAAAGTGCTAATGCAGATGTACAAGGTAACTATCCAGAGGAAATCACTGGGCTGCACATGGGTGGACTGTTTTACAACAAAACCATTTTACATGCTGTTAGCAGAGACCCGCTCAACTCCACACGTTGCCTAGGAGGATAAATGAGCACCACAATTGGAGAACTATGGAAAACTTGAATGATTATTGATTTAAAAGCTGGTCCGATAATACCTTAACATAGGAACAGAAGCTCCATATTTGTGTATCTAGTACATTAATTTACAAAACTCAAGTTACTTAAATAGTAAACATAGTCAAAGGTAACCTTTTCTGCTTTTATTTTTGGCCTGCTTTTTTACTTACACCACCTTACCTGGTCATAAGTAAATCATGTTTAAAATGGAAGTAATTATTTCAGTAATAGCAAATTGTGGTTAAAAATTGACTTAGTCATCTTAATAGGAAATTCTTGATAGCTATTTAAAAAAATCCCTTAATTTTTTTGATAAAGTGGATGCTTTGATCTGTATCTGAGCCCTTCTATTTGCGATGAGTAAGCAACACCAGTGTCTGGTCACTTAAATCTCTGTGTAGTTCTAGCTGGATGTAGCAGCTCAGCAGGCACGAAGGATCCCTGTGTAGCTATAGAATGACTAGCACTGCTGTGGCCATTGAGCATCTGGGAACCCGCAAGACTTGGGCATAGTATCATATCCCTTTCTAAATGGATTTGTTAGAGGTGTATAATGGTTGCAACTACCACAATCATCGAAGGGTAGTTTGCATACACCTGTAAGTTGGATGTGACGCTGAATTAAGCCCACTTGCAACATGGGAGGAGGTGGGAGAGGGAGAAAAAGGGTGGTTTTCCTGGACAAAAGTGTACTGTTATAGTCTGTTACACATTTGTTTAGAGAGTTGCCTTTTGGAAAAAGACATGCTACAAGAGAGTGCTATAGTGGCTCAATCTGAAGATGGAGTTGCATATGAGAGGGTTACTTCTCCTCTTGGTCATAGTTGTTCAGAGCTTCTTTTCTCTTTTTAGTTTAAACTCATATCGCAGGCATATGAAGTTCTGTCGGACCCAAAGAAAAGGGACCTCTATGACCAGGGTGGGGAGCAGGCTATTAAAGAAGGAGGCCTGAGTGGCGGCAGCTTCTCTTCACCCATGGACATCTTTGACATGTTCTTTGGTGGTGGAGGCCGAATGAATAGAGAGAGAAGAGGTACACAGTTCTAAACAAGTTCTAGAAACTCTAACCATGCACTTAAGCATAAAACACCTGTGCTATGGTACTGCTGTTCTGCTAAGTGCACATAGTGTGGATATTACTCGTTGCAACGACAGATCAAGTAAACTATGATTTTTTTTTTTTTTTTTTTGTTACTCTACCATTAAGGTTCTAATAAAGTAGATAACGTGATGTAGCAATAGCAATCTTTCTGATGAGTTCTGTTTATTTTTTGTTGAAGTGGGTGCGGGTAATCTGTAGGGTGGGGGAAACATTGGTAGGTTAGAGCAGTTGAATTAGACCTGGTTTAAGTTACTTTTTTTCCAGATCTGTGCCTTACTTGCTCATACGCTTTGGGCAACTTGCTTCAAAGGACACCATCAACTTAAACCTCAGTAATGTTAAATCTCATTAAAATACTTGGGCGAAATTACATGAAACTGAGTGCAGAGTGCTGCCAGAAGCACAGTATGATTTTTGTCTTTTTCCATGCCCAATGTCTGTTGAAGGTGCAAGTAGTAACTTGCTGTAAAATCTTTGAAATTATGCTATGAAGTGGCATTAAAATTTGTAGGTAGGCATAACAGCAACTTCTGAATTGACTAGATCTGAAGCTGGTAGTGTCCTTGCATCTTGCTGTTTCAGTTAAGCTTATAAAATTAGGGGTAGGAGCAGGGATAGGGTGGCTTTAATGATGCTTTGCTTAGTTACAGCTAAACTTTACGTTCTGACGTAAGTGGGTGCAGCTCAGTGGAAGCTGATGGAACTGCACAGGCTTTTAAGGGGGCTGAACTGTGTTCAAAGTTTGGAATGAACTTTATGTTTCTTCAGTGGGACTGTGCATGCATGAACAAGTGTAGAAGCCTTTAAATAAACATTTGTCCTTAATACAGCTGAACCAGAATTAATCTTTCTCTTCTGTTGTTTGTTTTTTTTAAGGCAAAAATGTTGTGCACCAGTTAGGTGTATCTCTTGAAGACTTATATAATGGTATTACAAGGAAACTGGCACTGCAAAAGAATGTTATTTGTGCAAAGTGTGAAGGTAAAAAAAAAATAGTGGTTTCAAACTCCTCTTACTCCAAGCTTTTTTTAAAGAACATTGGGGGGAGGATGGGAATAAATTGTGGGGTGGGTTTTTTTATTTCTCCTTCCCCTCCCCTCAAGTCTACTGGGGGGGTTCTCATTTATGCTTATGCTTATCCAAGAATAAGGCTCTCTTAAACATAGTGGTATAAAGTTATTGTTCTAATGGCAGACTTAAACTCACTGCAGATTATAGTTAGGGGTACCTAAATTTAAAAGTATCTTAATCCAGAACTTTAATAAATGGCTGTTTTGTGACACTTTTTTTTAATTGTTGTGGGTAGAAGTCTAGCTTGTATTACACAAGTCATTTTACAGCTATCCATAATGACTGGTCTTCTTTGAGGTGAATCTTAATGAGGCCTTGTATCTTGGTGCTCTATTAAATATTTAGTAAGCAGATTCTTTCCAAAGTATTAATGGAATGTTTAGGTCTTGAAGTCGGTGTGCTGATAGTTCCTTGATAACCAAGATGTGTTGGGAGGTGGGGCAGAGGCTAATCAAATAAGCTGTGCATAGAAAACTTGCCTTTCTTTTGCTTGTAGGAACTTCTAACTTGTGGGGCATGTTCTGTGATAGAAACTAAATTCCAGTTACGCTGGAAATATATTACTGAACTACTCTAAGTTGCCCTAAAGGTGCTCTTGAAGTCAATGAGTTCCAGCCTGACTACTGTAGAGTAACTTATTTTTAAGACTGAGATCAGATTTAACTTTTTTGTCAAAGGTTATGGCGGAAAGAGAGGGGCAATAGAAAAGTGCCCTGTGTGTAAAGGAAGAGGAATGCAAGTTCTAGTTCAGCAGATTGGACCTGGCATGGTACAACAAATCCAAACTGTGTGTCCAGAATGCAAAGGCCAAGGTGAAAGAATAAATCCGAAGGACAGGTGTGACAACTGCAATGGCTGTAAGGTTGTGAGAGAGAAAAAGATCATAGAAGTTCATGTTGATAAAGGTAAGAACTGTATATTTGTTCTGTGTCCCTAATCATAGTCTATAGTTCCGCAGAGAATAAATGGGTTTCTTTTCTCCAGGTATGAAAGATGGTCAGAAGATAGTATTTCATGGAGAAGGTGACCAGGAGCCCGATCTGGAGCCTGGTGATGTTATAATTGTGCTTGATCAAAAGGATCACAGTGTCTTTCAGAGGCGAGGGCATGACTTAATCACAAAAATGAGAATTCAACTCTCGGAGGCTTTATGTGGTTTCAGAAAGACCATTGAAACTCTGGATAACAGAGTTCTTGTCGTATCATCTAGGCCAGGTAGGTCTTAAGAGTTCTGATGCTATATAAACTGCTTGCCTGGTTCATTGTGCCTGGGCTGGGGTTTTTTTTTGGGGGGGGGGGGGGGGGGGGTGGGTTTTTTTTTACCAATTGACGCAACAGATTCAAACTACACTTGCAGTCATTTAATTTAGTTCTTTCTTTGTCATTCCTGTCAGTCCTCCTAAAACACTACATGCAGATTTATAGCTAAAGCTGTCAAATGCTTCATAATAAACTTCAGCCTCAGTTGGTGGATAGCCAGGAAAATATTCAAGAGGCCAGAAACTTAAACTCTACTAGATTATCTGTCAATTCATCCTGAAGAGTGTGCTAAGAGAAGCTGATTCTCTTACAGTAGAGGAAATGGCCTAAATGGTCTGTCTTCTGTATAGCTTGGTTTTAGTACTTTTCAGTTTGCAGCCTTTTCTATGAGTTGCTTAGTAGCCTCTCTTAGATGCTGTGGGAACACTGCTTGTGTATAACCCTGCTTTTCATGATGATGAAATCTGTCATGTAAGCTTACTTACAGCTCTTACCTCCGTGTAGGTGAAGTGATAAAACATGGTGACCTAAAGTGTATCTACAATGAAGGGATGCCTATCTACAAATCCCCAATGGACAAAGGCAGCTTAATTATACAGTTTTTGGTGAGTTGACTGCTTTTCTTTAGCAAAGATATATCTGCATTGGCATCAGGAGTAACTATTCATTAAAAAAAAATAAATAAAATTGTAGGTCCAGTTCCCAGAGCACTACTGGCTCCCAAGGGAGAAACTGTGTCTGCTGGAGGCTCTGCTTCCTCCACGTGAAGATGTTATGATTACAGATGAGATGGATCAGGTAGACCTTGAAGATTTTGATCCAAGTGAGCAAACCTACCGTAACAGTGGTGGAGAAGCATATGAAGAAGATGAGGAGGGTCCAAGAACTGGAGTACAATGTCAGACATCTTAAAGCAAGGTGGAATGGATGTCATCTAAAGTGTAAATTTTCACAATGAAAACTGCATGGCTGTAAGAGCCACTGCTTGTGGTTTTTGTGTTCAGCAAATTGAGTTGCTGCGCTGTCAGTATCACCTTTTTGTAACTAATTTATATTGTGTTCTTGTAGTCTTTATATATAAAGCAAATGTCACACAGCTGAGAACCAACTGAGTTGGTATACATTTTCCTTTGCTGTGAAAGTTCTCAATTTATTTCACCTTTGCTATTTATATAAGACTTTGGCAATATGGATAGAGGCTAAGTGGAGTGTCTTATGTAAATACTTTCATACTGGAAAATTAATTTCATAGAATAAAACATAGCAGAAATAACTTCTAATAAATAGAACTGTTCACATTTTATCATGCTTCTCTTGTACTTTCTAAGCCACTTGAGAACCCTCTTTATTTAAATAAGTTTCTCTAAGCTCAGACTCCTATCACCTAGTCTAGATTGTTCTCCATATTCAGCTTTGTGTTAGCTGCAACACTACTCTGTGTCTCATCTTGTATTTCAAAAGTGTTTTGTGCATGCCCCACTCAGTGCACAGTAGCACTCTTCCCTCTGTTCTTTTGTTGCATTAGAGTAGCATTCCTTCAGCTGCTTAGCTCTACGTAAGTGTAACTTTGGGTTATAAGGTATCCTTCTAATGTGTATAGGTGTACCCCACATACTTCTAACTTACATACCAGGCAAATGCTTCCAAATAAAATTTTGATCTTTCAGAAGCTCAAGCTCTATATTTCAGCTTTCCCTAGAAAGGGTTCTTACTTCCTCCTAGGCCTTGTGTACTTGAGCCTTACCGAAGACCACGTGTTGGGTATACTGCTGCTGTTCTATAACATGACAAGATACCATAGTAGAATGATCACGTTAAGGCTTTTCTCCTTTTATCTGGTTTTCTAGTAGAGTTTGTGTTAAGTCAGGGTTGGAAACAACTAGTGCCCTTAAGTGAAATTAAACTGTGATGAATGAGTTACATGTCGCCACACAATTGCAGGAACAGGTGTTCAACTTAAGTGACCCTGTTGCACTCATTAGGACAACATCAAGATGAGTGCAGGCTATCATCTCCCACGCATACAACACATAGCCTCAGTCGCTTTTCCTTTGGCTAAAATAAGCTGGTCAACACTTTCCAGCTCCAGTCTATTTATGTATAACAGTAGGGGAGATTAACTGAGCGGTTACTTCACCCATGACTACATATTTCCCAAAATACATTTTCCAAGGATTAGACACAAGTTACTTACATCTGTAGCTTTTATTTTAAAAAAAGTAAAGCTTTCTCTCATGCTAAACAAAATGAAAATTGCATGTATCTGATTTTGCACATCAGCATTACTAAAATGCTTTTATCATACCAAAAAATGACATAGAAGGATAGCAGTAGTCTTAAAAACTGCCACCAGAAGGGTTAACAAAGAGTTAATATTTAAACTGGACAGTCATAAATATGAATTTCTTGGTCATCTCCAACAGATACAATTTTGGACCCGCTTCCATTGTATTTCACTCCCCAGACCTGCAAACAGGACATACACAAGGTTATCAACAGGAGACTAAGGAAAAATGTCTTCATAGCAGTCATACTTACTGACTACAACGAGCAGAAAAGGGAGGATTATTTAAGATCACCTTATTAGAGCTGGTCCAATTACGGCTTCTGCTCTAACAGCAGATGAGGTTGATGAACCAGAGAAGGACACTGCCATCTAGTAGCCTGGCAAGTTCTTGCATTCCACTCCTACTGACAATGGATTACACAGTCTATAGGTACTTGAAAAAGTATGCAAACTTGCCCCAGTTTGCATAAATCGAACCTAACATTTTCACTCTTGCCCATCCTGTCTTTCTGAAAAGCGTACTTCACAGTGCTTTCAGGAAAGCAAGAGAGGGAAGTATTTTTCATGCAGACTGACGCACCGTGATAGACTGAAGGATTATCCAGTTTATCCTTGGGCTAATTTAGAGAGCCGTTTACTTAGCAGCGCAAAACTTACTTAGAAAAATTCAGGTCAGTCCTCTGACTTACTTAACTTATGACAGTTACACAAACTCTTAAGTGACCCCCATCTCCACCGTCAGGATGAGATCGGGAAGAGTGAAGGCTACCCAGCATATTAACATGGGATCACAGAATGAGTATATTGACAACAGCATGTTTTGGGGAATCTCGTACACCATTTTGCGTTAATAGGTAAAAACCAGCCTTCCCAAGAGCTGATACATCTCTGCCTTCCACAAACTTACTAGATCATAGACAACAGCTAAAACAACACTGGAAATCCAGTTCTGCTTGGTACTGCAATACTAAAAGCCCCATAGCTGTAGATAACTGAAAAGAAGGTTACCAGCAAAAAAGTACTATGGAAGAAAGAGCCCAAATAAAATCTGAAAGAATTTCCTTTGTTAAGTCTTCCTCTATGATCCATTAAAAAATAGCATTGCTCTATTTAACACCTAAAATTTGGAAAAAGAGTAACTTGGTAGATACCCAACTTCCTCTTCCCTCACAGGTAGCCAGCACTGAGCAAAACAAAAAAAAGGGTATTACAGACATTTGAGGAGCAAAAAGTCCCAAGTTTCAAGGGTGCTTTCAAGCATCTTTTTAGATAATTCCGTCTTATTTTTTTAAGTAAGTATTTTCCCCCCTTAACACATGCACACGCTGTGTGATAGAAATAAGACCATAGACAAAGATAAAAAATACAGACTGGTAAGAATCCTTTTGGCCATTCACAATTGCCCTTATTTGGACCTGAAAAACGCAATTACTTGGAAGAGATCAATCTACACGCTTGGAGTATTAGTTCAATATTAAGTGCCAAATAATCATGAACAACTTGTAAGATTCCATTACAGCATGCTGAAGTCCAACCCCGAAGCTACAGCACCAAGTTGAAGCACGAATGTGCACAACTACGCAACTGAAGTTCTCCTGCGAACACAGTGACCTAGATAAAGCAATAGTAGACATACCTGATCTTGGTGATCAAAGAAAGTGTGAACGCAGGTTCTCGTTCCAGCATCCCAAACTTTTACGCTTTTATCAGATGAACTGAAAGAAAAACAGTATTGATCAATGTTTAAATTAATAGATCATCTATAGTTTAGTGCAAAGCTTAAAAGATCTCATACAGTAGACATAAACCCTCTTTCACCCATCAAATACAGGGATGAAGTAGCAAAGGAATGCATCTTCTGCCAAGTTCCAATTACCTTTAAAATAAATGTATCGTTTCAGTACCTGCAACATGAAAATGAAGACCCCCATTTTAGCCAGAAAATTCTCTGAAGCAAGTTCTTTGGATAAAGAAACTCCTGTTACATGTACTTGGTCCCCCAACTGCCTGAGCTGTCTTAAGAGTTAACACTAAAGTTCAACTAGATTAATGTAGTACTACATTAGGTTGTACTTTTTAATTCAACAGCAATTTTTCAGCTATTTACAATCAAATTGCCTTTCTCTTAGGTTTAGATGTTCCTCACTTGTAGGGAACTACACTGCAGGGGGATGACTTACACTATAAAATACTATTCACTACAACTGGTATTACATCACAGATTGGCTCTTGAGTCTTTAATTGTATGTTTCTCCATTACAGATTCCATCGCAGTTTGTACACATCTACTTTTTATGATCCATCTCCCATTAGAAATACAAAATTATATTTACTTTTTTTTTTCAGTAAGCATAAACAAGTTAAAAATCCTCAATACCTGGAAACAAAATGGGTATCGTCAGGACAAAATGCTACGTTTAAAACCCAGGATCCATGGCCGCTTAATGTGCCAGCCAAGTTTGCGTGTTGCCTGTGGAAAGAACAAATTTTAACATTTGGTTTGTGAATTCCAGGGAAAAAGCAACAGGAATATACTCTAGCTAGTGCAGTCGAGAATGGCTCAGTGCAAGGTCATGGAAGGTGACTTCTGGACATTTGTTCATCCAAGCTGAACTGGTGTTACAACAGATTCTGGTTTTCCATTTCAAATGCTTAACATAAAAAGAAGATACTAAGACGACACATTGGTGGACAAAACAGTTTCACCATGAAGAAGGCAAAGTAATGCAGCTTTAGGGGAGTGAAGATCACTGAAGCAGTGCCTTTTCCTCCCCAGGGTCTTCCAAGTTTTTGCACGATGCGACAGAAATAGGTCATAAATATAATTTCTTGAGTACAGAACAGATGTTTAAGATGGGTAAACACAAACACACAGGACAGATACACAAAACAATTAGCCAGTTGCCTACAGGGCAAATATGAGGAAAGTAATTTGTTTTCAAGTTAAGGCTGTCATCCACCTACACCCTTTTTAAAAACTCCCTTAAGAGTGTAGTATTTTCTTCTTTATGTAATAAAGAATCTTAAATAAGTCACCAAAAACTGAAGGGAATTATAGAGAGCAGAGAGTTTGGTATATTTTTTTACAGTATCAGCCTCTCCGAATAGTTATTTTCCTGTTAGCATGTCTTGCAAAATAATAACTTACACATCGTAGATTTTGATATAGCCGTCATCTGAAGCAGTTACAAGTAACTGAGAATCTGGAGAAAATGTCAGTGAACGAATAGGCATCGCATGACCTGAAATTCAAAGTTATATATGGCTTAGAATGTAGCTATTCCTCTTACTAATGACAGTGCTCAAGAAGCTACACCAGAACAGCATTCCCTGTTAAAAGAAAGCAACCTCCGAAAAGTCTTTCTCTCTATGCCTCTACAGGCTTCTTCGCACAACATAAAATGGAAACTGACAGTAATTCTGAACTTTGAATGTTAAGGCATGTCCACTGCAACACAAAAGTATCTTATTTTTTCAGCTGTGGATCTTTATTAGAAATTATGTCATATTTTCCAATATGATTTCATATTGTTTAAGTGGTTGGGTTTTTAATTAACTACACAACTGGACAGAAACTGCATGAACATTAAAAGCCCATTTATCTGTTAGAAAAACGCACATCTTCTACAACAAAAATATTCAGTTATTTTTAAAAACAGAAATAAATTGCTGTAAAACTGATACCATAGCAAAAAGAAAAATCATAAGCTAAGCCAAACGTGTGCTGCCATGCGTCATTCCTTGTACTGCACTGCAATACAAGAAGGAACTGCAATTTAAGAATTTAGTTAAGCATTACTGACTGTATCTTTTGAGATAGACATTTATGATGCACGCCTGAGTTTACAGTTTGCTTCTAATATTTTAAGTGGTTTAAGTTACAGCACACTAAATAACTAAATACTGTCTAATGGACAGAAACATCAACTCATTTATGCCATGGCTGTTGTATCTTATTCTGACTTGCATTATATCCTTTAATTTTGTTGAGGAATGAAGCCAGAACTTGGGTATTGCAAATAAGCAAACCATTACCTTCTAGCGTATGCAGAAGTTTTCCAGTTGCAATATCAAAAATATTGATAATGCCATCTATCGCTCCACTGGCTAAGTATTTTCCATCTGGGCTCTGTAATAAAACACAAAAAGTATGCATTTAACACCTGTATGCATTCATGCTATGTACCTCCCTGACATTCTCTTGGCAACTTTTCACAAATACCAGCAAGATACCTGGGCTCCAAAAATCCTGAAGACTTCAGCTGACTTATTCACAATATGCGTATAAGCAAGATCAAAGTATATTTTCCATATATGCAGGGGGGGAACGTCATGCAGTTTATATCTGGAACTATCAAATTATGGCTGTCATTTAGTAT